CAATCCTTTTAAAGTTTTTTATCTTGTCTATTTTAGAGTAAGATTGATCTACTGGTTTAATCCTTGTTTGCAGAGCTAATTAAACTTGCTGTTATTTCTTTAAGATAGCATTAAGATAGCTTAATAAGCTTATTCTAAACCAACTTTAGGAATTGTTCTGTTCTAATATTTGTTCTTCAAGGATCTATAAGTTTGCCTTGGTTTAGCAATGATTTTGTGCTTCCCCAAAGTTGTACTGGCTATTTGTTGGAGACTACAACAAATACAGAATTGTGATGAACAATAATGATCAAATATGTAGCCTCAACGCTTCCAGCAAGTAAAAAACCCAGACAGTTATCACAATAGCAGGAACTATTGTGATATGGTGTTTTAATATGGTGTCTTTCAATGGTTTCCTAAGGTTGATGTCCTCTGTCAAGATGGTAACTTTATTAAAAGCAGAGTTGAGTGCTTGCTAGAGCTGTCAGTGGAGCCCAGCAATAGTTGGTTGCTGAGATGATTTCACACTGCAGGCACCATTTGAGTGATTAGCCTGTCCTACAAGCCCATCCCTGTTTGTGATTAAACTAAAGATTCTTGAAAACAGCAAGACCCAACATACTGAACTTTTTTCTTTTTTTAACATTACTTGCCCTTTCTTTTCTTCTTTCTTTCTTCATTTCTCCTTGCTAATTTACTGCTACTTAAATTCTGCATGCTGAGGATTGGTTCCCCACTTCCTTCTGCATACTAATACTTCAACACAGATTCTGTCAATCTCCTTTTTTCTGCTTGCATAGTCCCATAAAACATCTGGATGTGAAAGATAAGTCAGCTGCTTGCTGACTGGCTGGCTGCCCAAAAACAGTCTGAGATTCTGGCTGACCACGAAGCAGTTCATGTTTTTTGTTATTGAGGATGTGAGATCTGTGAAGGCAACGTTAAGTATCTTGGGTTATTCAGTTGTATTTGTTTCAGAGACACTTACAGAGGAATGGTCGGCTGTTCCTAGGAGGAGCTTTTTAATTGTAGGAATACCATGGAGAGGAATTGCAGTAGAGAAAGATTTGAAGAGATGCAAATGGGGCAGTGCATTGCAGGCACTAGTTCAAATCCACACAGGAATCTTCCTCTCAGGCGTTTCTGTTGGGTTTGGAGGCAGAGTGTAAATGCTGAACTTCTCTTCCATAACGCTGTGATGGCTAGAGCAGAAATCCACAGGAGGAAAATGGAATTTTCTTCATTCAGCCAAAAGCATCATCACAATAATTTGGGTGGAATTAGGTACATGGAACAAGGAAAGCATGTAAGGCAGGAAACGCGGGCTCTTTTTAAAGACTCGTACCTTTACTGAAACATTTAACTCCTCCCTGCCTCAGAGGGGTAAATGTTGTGGACAGTAATGCACTGTCTCACTGTGCTCATATATCCTCCGATAAAAGTTTCTTCAAGGCATTTTGTGTTTCAGCATGGGGAAGCCTGTTTTCATTTCAGAATGTGAGTCCACATGGGCCATGAATGGAAACTGCTGAGAGTCTGAATTCATACTGGAACATGTGCCAAGAACAGACATTACAGTGTAAAGAAATCTGTGCGTGCTACATGGAGTTGTGCATGTACAGCCAGCATCTTTCTTACGAGAAGAGGTGTTTTTATTGGAGAACAGGGAAAATTGAGGCTTATTCATGTTCTTTGAGCAAGACTTTCATATGGGTTTTTTGGTAGGGGTTTTTGTTTGTTTGTTTGTGGTTTTTTCAGGGTTTTTGTTTATTTTTTAGTAAAACAAAAAGATTGCATTATGTCTGCTTTTGAAAGAGAGGCACACTGGAAAGTTTTGCTTACAACAAAGCAAAGGTCTTTTGCACAGATCCACCAGTAAATATGGAGAAGGTTGCTTATTTAAACCCATCTGATGACTTTATGATCTGTGAAAAACAATTTAATCCAAACTATACTGACAGCTCAATCTCAGAGGTCTGTTTGCACACAGGCACAGTTATTTGTTTTCTTTTTTAAGTAAACTGGCTTTTGTGTTTTGTGCTAGTGTCAGTTTCCATATTAGATCGAGCAATCATGTCAAGTACACTGCATTAGATTAATTGATTAATTCTGGTGTCTGAGGCTGTTGTAAGCCAAGTATTGGGAACACACAGATCACAGCCTCTGAGGCAATGAGTGCACACTTTAGTTGGAGGCTTCACCTACAGTATTTGGTGTGTGTTGCATCTCTGTGTATAACTTTTGGTGGGTGTATATAAAACCAGGTGAATCACAAAGCAAATAGCAGCATACAGCAATAAATTGCAAGATTTGATTGTTCTGTGTCATGTCTTCTGTGTCTCTACTGAAAGAGGAGTTTTAATCTGCCTTGGGGTGCTGCGTTGAACTGGGCTTTATTTCCAGTTAGATCTGTATATTGATTGTGCATAAAAGCATTTGCATTAAGAGACAGGGATGTGTATATACATAGGTACATTAATTAAATCTCCTAGCTTTTGCATTTATTTGGGGTTATTGCATATGCAGCAGTCATTCTCGTCTCATGCTGTAAACTGCAGTGCACGTATGAAGCAAAAAGATTTGGGAAATGAAACGGGATTTGGAGATTTTCTCTTGATTGGCTTTCCTCCTGTTCAGCAGTCTTATCAAATGCAGCTATATACAATGAGACCTATTGATTGTAATATCTGTAAAGTAAATCTTGAAGTACCATATGAAAGTTTTGAAGCTATAAACCAGTATCATTTCTGCTACAAACAACTGTAGGTAAGGAAAACGTGCCTCTTCTCTTAATCCAGGAAGCCTTTACATCACTTAGTGCATCTTTGAAATCGCACTTTATTTTTCAGTGTGTGAACCTCAAGAAAATATCTGAGAACATCTATTCCACAACTCAGTTGTAGAATTAACAGTGTCAGATCATTGCAAGCTGGAGAACACTTTTTAGTTAGATACAACTTGAGTATATTTTTACCTGACAGTATGTGCTTTCCCAATAAGTTATTTATTGAAAATTCCTTAAGCATGCGAAAATCTGAGAATGAAGTTATTTTTGCAAAAATAATCGTTCTCTTTCATTGAAAAGCAGGTCCTTATGATTAAACCCATAGTCATTGACTGTGGCCTTGAATCTCAAATTAAAAAAAACCAACCCAAAATTAAAACAACCCAAACAAACCCACCCCAAACCCCCAAAGTAGTTATAAGGTGCCAACAGCTTACATGCTAGTATAAGCTGTACTGCAAATACTCTCAAAACATGGAAGAGGAGGAAAGTGTGGTATAATGAATGCGGAAACCACCTTTTCTAAATAACTTGCAGGTAAATTTATTCTTTTGATCCTGTTTTTGTGTTTATATAGTTGTCGGTAAAGGATAAGCAACTTATATTGCAGGTGTTATGAAATCACATCTTTTCAGGAGCTCTGCCTTGTTTCTTCCATAGAAATGGGTGTGGATTTTTGTTTTGGTGGGAACATTTTTTAAATTCAGTTGATTTTTGTAAAGGTGTGTGTAAAATGACTTCATGCTAGAACTTGTCAGAATTTGAACCCCTCTATATTGGTTAACTGTTGTGTGCTGTTACAGATTATTTTGGCAAAAGGTTCTGTTTGCATTGCAAAACAGTAGGTGTTGAATTTGATTTGGACTGTTTTGCTCTCTCACGCCTCCACAAATGCACCTCTTTTTTTTTTTTTTTTTTGAGGTAAGGGAATATCATAAATAGGTGCCAACAAAATGTGGGCACTGAAAACAATTACTTTGCTGGTAGTATGCAAACTAAAAGTGATGATTTCATGACTCTCTTGGCTTCAAAATCTAATTTGACTGGAATTTATCAGTTTTTTTGATAGTTGCTTTGTGGCAAATACCGAATTTCTGGCTTCAGTAGTTGAGACCTGAAGATGATCTTATTCTAAGAGAGCTGAAGATGTCAAGAAGATCTGTGGGCATGAAAGTCTATAAATAAGATGGAAATATAATGTATGTGGCTTGAAGTCATTATATTTGAATAATTAAAAGGGACATTTTGCAGTCTGTATCAGTGAGATAATGTATTTATTCATAGATTTAACTGCAGAACTAATTGGAGATACAGCTGTGGTACTGTCTACATGAAGAGAATGTTAATGTCTCTTCTGTAACTGAGCTCTCTCCTTTAGGTAGGCTGCTCCATGTGTGGTCAGATTGACCTGTCTTTTGCTGGACATGCCTGAACAAGCAGCTTTCCGCCTTCCTCTATCTGTTCTCTACATTTATTTCTTTTATTTTCTTCTCCAAATGTCTCTCCAAAATAGACTGTGTTTTCTTTTGAAACGCATTGAGGAACTGACCAGGGCCAGAATTACTTAGCAGAAAAGAATTACTTAGCAGAAAAGCAGAGGTGTGGTTTTGTCTGTGTTAACCCTCTGGTTTCTCTGATGCCTTTCCATGGGCAATTGCCCAGTTAGTAATTACAGAGGAGTTGAGGGCACGAATCGTAAAGTTGTGAGAGGTGCAGGAGCTGTTTAATCAAGTTCTGTCATCAATAGCAGTGTTGCTGCAGGAGCAGTCTTATGAGTCTGAAGCTTCTTGTATCTTCTGTGAATGTGACTTGTCTGCCAGCACAACCACGGTTTCCTTTCCTATGCCCTTGCAGTGCTTTCCATGTGTTAGGCAGATGAGTTTCCCTCCAGTTACCAGAGAAGGAATTAATGAAGCTTTTACGCACCATGAAGTTATAGGGTATCTCAGATGATTTTGCGTCATACTGAAGTGCTAGTGTGGACAGCTTCTGCCCAAAATAAACTAAGCTAGTTTAAAAGAATTTAAGCAGCTTGGAGAACAACTTCAGTGAAGACTCTTGGATACTTCAAAAATTCTGCCTCTAAATGCATGAAGTTAGCTTCTAAATCCTTTGAATAATAATAATAAAAATCTTTATTTTAAGGTCAGAGCTGTTAATGGCCATGAAAATGAACTGGACTTTAACATAATTTGTAAGTTTCTAATATTTTTAAATATGTTTTTGTTTTTAGAGTGCATCAGTCTGCTATATCTGTGATCTACAATGAATGCCAAATCTGCAATCAGCAAAGAAATTTTTGCCCCACATGATGAAAGGATGCTGGGAGCAGTCCAAGTAAAAAGAAGAACAAAAAAAAAGATTCCTTTCCTAGCTACTGGGGGTCAGGGTGAATATTTAACATACATCTGCCTGTCAGGTAAGATTAATGATTTTGACATGCAGTTGCCTGTTCAGGTTTATCTTTGATTAGCTGATTAGATGTTACCTGTGGCCATAAGGAGCTGGGTGACTCAATAATGTAACCAGAGAATTATGGTGCCTATATCATTAATCTTGAGAAGCCATGCGATCAATATTTATACTATATAATAAATTGAACAGGTGGTTTCAGTGTTAAGAAAACCCTATGTTTTATCTCACGTCATAGCTGCAGAGTTATGAACAAATAGCATATTTGGTAACAGTCTTTGCTTATTAAGGTTAAGATCTTTCTTGGAGGGATGAACTTGACATTGTATTTCACTTTAATGTGCTGATCTTTTTGATTGAAGCAAATGTGTTCCTCTTCACATTTGCCTCTGTTACCAGCTCATTGTCTAGTTAGATACACGACTTTCAGCCAGAATATTTTCAGTTCATTGAACAGAAAAGTAGTGCTGTGCATCAGTCTCCTGACTTTAAAAGCGGTGACGATGGGAATATTTGGGTTGAAGGAGAAAAGGATGTATACAGACATGTTTTGTGAGACATCATGGAGAACAGGGAGAAATTACCTTTTTGTTGCTGATGTGTTCAGATGAAATTGAGCATCTCCAAGGTCACACCAGCACTCGTGAGAGTCTGGATTTCAGGAATAGGGTAGGTGGTAGCTGTATGATAGTTTGCTTCTTATTTTTACCCTTTCTAATAAAAATAATAGTCCAGTTAATATGTTTTTAATTGTATAAATTAAACCCATTGATTTGGTAACTTGTGGTTAACTATGGTGAAACTTTTTTTTTTATATATTTACTTTGTTTATTGTAGCGAAATTCACTGTAATTTAAGATTACATCTCAGCACAGTTGGAAAGCAGTTTGTGATCCTGATTTCCCTATAGTTTATTCTTATGTTCAAACTTAGAGTGGAATTTAGTTGCCAGGAGGCAGGCATTCAGTGAAGTTTTAGGTTTCTAGCCCTTCTTCCAGGTAGCTTTCAAGAAAGGCAGAAATCCCTTGCTCTGTCTGCCAGCTGAGTGTGTGTGAGTATCTGGTATCCTGGGGTGATTTAGTCACTTTAGTTTTTTTAGGCATATCACTTGTTCCTTTGAGTGTGTATCTTACTGGGAGTACAACTAGTGGTCAGAGGAAGAAGTGCTCTATGAATCTCAGAAGATTGCTGGGTTTTTTTTGGACTAAATGGAAGATAAGATTTCATGGAGTCTTTACATTTCTTTTTTTCTTCACTGAAAAGTATGTTAAAACTTAGATAGGAAGTAAACCCTAGACAGTCTACTATTATATAAGACACGACATACCTGTACACGAAATGTACATCAGTTGAATGTTACCTAACAAAATGTTACTTGTATGCATATGTACAAATGCTTTTGTTAAAATAGCAGCTGCAAAGTAATTGCGTGCACATACTGAGGACAGTGAGATGAAATGGAAGATTTCATTTCTAGCGGAGTGTTCTGCTTGTCATTCTCCCCATATACAAAGCTTCAAGGAAAATTTTAAAACTTGATTCACCTAGACTGTTCCCTAAACTTGTGGTTGGGATACTCTTCAGATGTAAAGATTGCAGGTGTCGGTCTTCTCAGGTTGCAGAGGAAACTGAGTCTAGTTCTCCCATCTTTTAAAGAAATGTTCAAGTTAGTAACGTTTTGAAGCAAAGCTCAAGTCTTCTTCCTTTGGCAGTCAGCTGTGGTTTTTTGGTCATCTTAATTTGTAGATCCATTCTTTTCTAGGGCCATTCAGTCAGTTTTGGAATACCCAGGTGTTTCATGCCTGTCTTCGTGAGGAAAGGTTAAGAGGTGTGAGCTGTGTTTATAATTCTCTGTAGGCTAGCTCTATTCAATAGGTGGATTTTGTTTTTTAACTGCCATTCTGGTGAACCTAGCCCTCCTTCAGGTCTCTCACCCACATGTTGATATGTAGCAGCCAACATGAATTTAAGAGATTGAATGATCTTAGATGCATCTAATGTCTTTCTTCAACAGGATAACATACTATGAGTAAGGAAGAAACAGCAGATGCCCTGACTTCAGCAGAGCTTCTCTCTGATGACAAGGAGAAGCATTCAGGATCTAAATGAAACTGCTGCATTGGGGGCCCCAGAAAGCTGCAAATAGTGCTGGGAGACCCCTCTTGCATGGCTTACTATTAGTGGGGTTTTGCAGTGATCTGCGACCAGTTGGTTTATATATGTTTATAGTTTATATTATGGAGTGTACAGTATGATTTGGTAATTTCAATAGACAAGTGACTAGGAAGAGGACTGTCTGTCTGTGTGTTTGAGGGCAATATTAGAGTTCCGAATAACATGATCAGAAAGATGATGCGATACTCTAGGGTCAAGTACAAAAGTTATTTTGTCAGAAATAATCAATGGCACAAAACTAATGTTTAAGGAACAACTGTTTCTGCCACTGTAGTTAAAGGAAATTGTGACAATGATAAACTGTGGGGTTTTTGATGTTCTTGATAGCTGTGAAGCAAGAAGTTGTGTTACAAATGAAGAAAAAGTTTTCCTCTAGTAAGGGTAAATTACAGTGGGATCACAGTTTAGGCATGTCCCCAAGTGGTCTAAGTTGAACTGTATCTTGGGAATAATAGAATATACTTGATGACCTTCCACCTTTCTGGGATTCACTACAGTGAGTGAGATACAGCGGTAGCTAGCTCTGGATTTATTTTCCATTTCAAGCAACATACATGTTAATGCTGAGTGTTGCAACATCTACCTTGGCAACATCTTTGTCAGCTTTTTACTCTTGTCCCATTTTTTAAAGGTTTACTGTGTATTAGGTAAACATGGTGATTGGAGTATCTTTGTGTTCTTAGTTTTCTTGGACTAACTCATATTTGCCTTTGTTAAAAGAAATTTGTTAATTTACTGTTTAGAACTGAATTTGTCAGTTGAAAGAATACACATAGAAACTGACTTGTTAGGGGACTTGTAAATATTTTGAGAATATATATTATCCTGCCTAGCTGTATCATTCAAGGTATGGTACAGAAAATGAACCACCAGCCATTGTGATAGCTACTTTTACTTACCGCTTAGTTTGTAACTGACAGATTGCATGAATTGTTATAATCAGAATTAAATGTTTTACTTACTGTGTTGCATTTGAAATACATTATATCATAATTGTAGTCTGCATTTTTGTAAGCATGGATAGAGATGCTGAGCAGGAATAATGCCCTTAGAACTCAGAGATAAGATGGCTAAACATTAAAATAATAAAATGTTGAACAGAGCAAGATGGGTGAGTAAGGGAGGTTCTTCTTTAAAATTTGTGTTTGCAGTATGTACCGGATATTTTTGTTTGACAGTACTAAATGCTGAATTGGTTAGAAGGAAATAACTCACTAATGCTCCTAAAACGCGTACCTAAAGCCTGTGATCAGAAACTGGATACAGGGTGAGGTAAGAAGGCTGCTTGCCAGGCTGGTGGAAACCAAGCACCTGAGGTACTTGCAATGCTTTAGCCTGCTGTAGTCGTAGGGCTGACCAAGTTAGACTGGTAGCAGAGCCAAGAAAGATCTTGTGGGAGTTAGTTGAAGAACAGCAAGAAAGGAGTAGACAGATGGGAAGCACAGAGGTGGGGTAGCTGTAGGCAGAACAGAGAAGATGAAAACTGGGATTTTAATTTTTTTATTTTATTTTATTTTTTAAATGTAGAAGAGGATTCAACACAGAGAAAAGACAAATTCAGAGCTGAAAGTGGATATTTATCACCTCCTCCACACTAGCAGACCTAGTGAGAGTTACTGGATCAGATCTAAGTTTTAACTTTGTCACCATTGTCTTATATAATTGAAACATAATTGTTTAAAATAGTTCTTAGCCTTATTTAGGGCTCTGAATTAAGCATAAAATACTTAAAAGTCAGTTCACAGAAATACAGGACATTGGCTATCTCTCCTGCTTGCTTGTGCACAGTCCTGTGTGTATTTCCTTTGACACCCTATCATTATGGGTTGTTTTTTTTAAGTAACTTCTAATATTTTAAGTGTTTTAATCTGTTGTAGTGGGTTGGTAATGTTCCAGTTTGTACATATGCATATGGCGTTGACCTTTCAGGACTAAAAATCTATTGCAAGTTCAAGTGAACAGAAGGAACCAGATGGTTCCTTTTGAACCTGTATTACTGTGTCATAACACTCTCAGCTTAGCTGTACTGCTCTTTTTAGCCCTGCTGAAAAGCTTGGTATTTAACTGTAAAGCTAAAATTCCTTAAAGCTGGGAGTGCAACTTTTCCCCTCTGTGATTAGGACTTTAATAGGGTTATTTCTTTGCCACCTCCAGATTAAATTAACATACTGTCAGTTCAGGGCCTTTTTTGGATGGCTTTTATGCAAAAGTAGAATCTATCAAGAATGGTGCTAGAAAAGCCAAAATAAAATGCAATGAAATAATAAGAAATAATATACAAAAATAAGATGTACATGCAGGGGGAGAGTGTATTGGGCTTTCCATCCTCCTTTAAAATTTAACCCCTATTGCCCATGTCTCAGAGGTTTTTAAAAGATAGGCTTAGAAAGCGCTTTGCAGTTACCACAGTAGGTGGATCATGGATCATTTTTATTCGGTTTTCGTACAGTAATTGATTTACCCCAGAAGTAAATAAGTAAACACAAGTGTTTTCAGCCTTTATGTGCTATTTTGTATATGTTTTATCCTATTTCTGTATTTCTTTTTTGGGGGGTTTTTTGTTTGTTTGTTTTTAGGTCAGAAAATATGGAAAACAGTTCTCTGGGTGTGTACAGTGCACTGTCTGTGTAATACTTAATTGATAATTGGCACTTGTAGAAGACATTTGAATACTCAATTTTAGCCCTTACCGTGGTTCAGTCTTGAAAAATCAGGTTTCCTCTTATGGTGAAATACTTCATCACTGAAGAAGCTTTACAGGAAACCTGCTAAAATACATAAGGTTTTCAGTGAAATTTAAGGGCATGTATGAGGATTCCTTAAAGTGAGTAA